CATCGGTAAGGGGAAGCCACTCTTTATCATCCAAGGAGGAGGGTATCTTGACAAGCGAGGAATCAGCCCATGGAATGCAGGCATATTCAGCTTTCAAATGATATTAGCAACAGCCAGCAGGACATGATGGGAGTAACACACTCTGAAGGCCCTTGTCTGAACCCATTTCCAAACCGAGACCAAATGTAACAGGTCCCTCTAACGATACAAAGGACATGGAAGGCTTGGGAAGAAAATTGCCATCCTCGGCCATGCACAAAATCAAGACACGGTCACCGCGTTGGAAAAAGTCGACCGCAGGTCCAACTTCTTCAATGACGCCCACGGCTTCATGGCCCACGCCCCAGGGAACATCTTTGGCGCCAACTAGGCCGTGGTAGATGTGAAGATCAGTCCCACAAATTGCCGACGAGGTGATACGGACAATTGCATCTTCGGGTTTTGTGATTTTGGGGATAGGGACGATGTTGGTGCTCATATGGCCAATTTTACCTCCCCACTGGACGGCTTTCATATAGCCTTGTGCCGACAAATTGGTCATGATAGCGATAGAACGTGCCTGATTCTGAGGACAATCTTGGAGTGGCCCAGGGGTTGGGAAGTATCCGGGCTCATCAAAAATGGCATTCCACACAGAGAGCTATATATTCATTTTTATCATTACGATTTCTATGAACTTTTATTCCCAACAAAAATGACGTGAGGTGATCCGAGAAATAAGTTCCATCCAAGCGCTGACCAGATCCAAAAGACCCAGCCATTTTTCAGTCACAAGCCGCTATCACGAGGCAATTAATTGCTGTTTCACGGAGGTAAGCAAGGAGTTTTCATGTCCGTTTTCTGCCTTTGTTGGATCTTTTGCATGGCGTTCCCTGACATACAGTGGTGCGATTTCATAGGCCATTGGCTAAGCATGGACCGGAAGTATGGTTCACCAGAGTCATGATCTATTGTAGGATGTCAGCAATGCAACCTTCACTCAATGCGAGCTTATTATGAAGTTCCGAGGCTTTATTGGATGATTACTGCACGTGCGTATAGTCATTGAGACATCACTCAAGCTGCCCGAATCGAGAATGAAAGGCCATAGATGGCTAGTAATACAGCGTCATGGACTGGACACTTGAGGGGGTTTGGGTGTTCTGCTACGAGGCGCAGGGCCAACAAACAAAAAATTAGAGAGAAGTGTCGCATTCCGAGAGAGTTGTTGTCATTCCTGCTTAGTTGTGGTAACTTAAGTTTTGTGTCCTAGATTGAGCCAACCTGACTGACACACCAAAAGAGAGGGACCTTACGTGAGGATGCTATGAAACCCAATTGCGTTCATTCTTGCCCCAAAAACATCCCAAGCTAGGTGTTAGCATTCAATTAAAATAAAATAAAAATATTCCTCAGTGTGATGAAAAGCTGACAAACCATGTGTTTTCACGAATACTTATGCAAAAGATCACAAGCCAATGATACTCCAGGGCCGTATGTTGGTCTTCGGAAGCTCCTCTGGGAAGTATTTAAATTTGGTAAACTAAAACGAGGCTAAGCCTCTTTTTCTTCTCAATTGGAGAGTGCTGGGTAAGTAGTAATATGCAATTGCTCTCAAATGTCAGTGCGCGTCTCGGTATGCCTTTTACTCGTTACGCGTCTTGTCAACCAAGACGTTGTCCAAAGGATGTGAAGACTTATCATCGGGGGAAAGCATTCTTGATAGATAGACTAAGTCTTTGTTTTTCTCTCTCTACTACTACCCCCAAATGACCCTTTTTCTCCTTCCTCTTCCGTTTTATGTTAAGAAGTGAGCACCATGGTTGGCAAGACCTTATCATTTGATTCAAAACTGGCAAGTGTTACTGTAGGGTAGGTAGCTCCTGCAAGGCGCACGTCGGTGACAAATGTGCCAGCATGTTCTACCATCACTTTGTTGCAGAAAAGATGGCGAGAGATTATCGATAACTTACCGACGGCCCCGATAAGCTTATGATCAGCATCAGCATAACTAATTGCTTTACTTAACGGTGAAAGCTTGTGGCTCGAGCGCCCAGCAGCTATCAGCCACCTGCTTGATTAAGGATAAGCAGGACGTAGGTTAACCGAAGGAAGCTCTTAGCCTTAACAATTGGTACGATTCCAATCATGGGGAAGATGCTCCACGGAGGTAAATTGCCCCTGGGGACCTGCATCCTGGAACAACCTTGCAATGTAACATGCATTCAGGAACCGGCCACACCCAAAGCTGGCAGGCGAGAGATGGGAATCACCCTAGAGACGCACCCATCATATGGCACGAGGAAATTACGCGTCGCTCATCCCGACTGTCGGCTCTGTCGTGATTGGATGTGCGTTGCTGGGCCACAGCGATGCTGCTCCTGAGCTCTCTCGGGCGTGAAACTTGGCACAGCCGAAATAAGCAATTCAAGAATCATCCAATCGTCCTATCGACCCAGGCGATTGGCGGTTTTCTTTCCAGCCAGTTACAGAATATGTCGTTTGTGCTGCCGATCTTGACGCGACACGATCACCAAAGACGCGGAACCCGAGCACATCAGGCAAAAGATGCGATCGACGGCTGAACTGAAGAGGCCACCGCCACAGCGACTGGATTGGATCGAATTGATTTCTCGGTGAGCTGTCGCTCCATTGGCAAGAACTTTTGCTCGCCACTCTTATCTGGATGCTCCGCACTTTTCAAAAAGATCCCTCCGTACCCCAACGCCCCATCAGGCAGGTGAAGCCCCCTGTCGCTGATACGGCCAGTCGAGTACGGTTTTCCCATGACAGTGCCAAGAAGCAGCTGACGAGCCTTCTCTCGGGGTCGGTTTGCATTTAAGAGCAGGCCACTCACCTATCTGCAGCTGGTGTCATGTCGTAAGCTTTCCGAGCCCCATCCTCACTCCCTTCGACTTCTTCAAAAAGCCACTCTTTTGACAAGATGAAGTTCTCCGCTGCCATTGCTGCCCTCGGGCTCACGTCCGCTGCTGCTGGATGCCTCCTCGACAGTGAGCGAGAGGCTGAGCGCCTCTACACTCGAACCGGCGAGCGCCCCGGTCGTACTGTCTCGAGAGTGAAGAGAGCTTCCACTGCTTTCCCCATCGGTACCGGAGACCGTTTCGCCAACGGATGCGTGGCCCCGGTCGGTCTTGGTACCAAGGACCGCGATGTCGAGTCCATCTTCAATGTCAAGGAGGTCGGCACCGCCCTCAAGGGTCTCAAGAAGGCCTACCCAAACGACGTCAAGCTCTTCAAGCCCCCCCACAAGACATACGAGGGCAGGGACTTCCCCGGAGCCATCATTGGCGAGAACCCCCGAGTCTTCATCATGAGCGGTATCCACGCCCGTGAGCGTGGAGGCCCCGACAGCGTCATCTACTTCATCGCTGATCTTCTGGCCGCCAAGAAGGCCGGCACTGGCGTCACCTACGGCAACAAGAGCTACACCCTCGCGGATGTCGAGAAGGCCCTCTCTGCCGGTGTCATCATCATTCCCCTCACCAACCCCGACGGTGTCGCATACGACCAGTCCACCAGCACCTGCTGGCGTAAGAACCGCAACCCCGAGTCGTCCGGCGGCGACGCCGACAAGATCGGTGTCGACCTGAACCGAAACTACGACTTCATCTGGGACTACAAGACGGGCTTCAACCTGACGGCCGCCGACTCCCCCGCCTCGGACGACCCGTCCAGCGAGATCTTCTACGGCACGGGGCCAGAGTCCGAGCCCGAGACTAAGGCCGTCGTCTGGACCCTCGACCAGTACCAGAACATCACCTGGTTCATGGACCTCCACTCCTTCACCGGAGATATCCTCTACGGCTGGGGTGATGACGACGTCGGCACCAACAACACCGACATGTACTTCACCAACTCCAAGTACGACGGGCTCCGCGGCGCCGTCGGCGACGAAAAGTACAAGGAGTACCTGAGGCCCACCGACTTCCAGATCGAGAAGGACGGCACCGCCCAGATGGTCAAGAGTATGACCGAGGTCGGCGGCGTCGAGTACGGCGCCTACGAGGCCGTCGGCCTGTACCCGACTTCCGGGGCCAGCAACGACTACGCCATGGGCCGTTACTACGGCAAGCTCGCGTGCGGCGCCAGCCGCATGTTTGGGTACACGCTCGAGTTCGGCGTCGAGAGCACCGCCGACCCCACGTGCCCCTTCTACCCGGACACCAGCGAGCACCACCGCAACATGAAGCAGATTGGCGCCGGATTCATGGAGATGCTCATCATCGCGGCTGGCGAGGCTGGCGACCCGTTGTACCTCGAGTGTTAAAGCTTAACTTGACCTACAAGATGTATTCGCTAATTAAAATCCTAATGTAGATGGCTGGAATGTTGAAGGAGACAGCATTTTGGCCGCAGTATATAAGAATGTAATGAATGAAACGATTGATCTCCACGTCGCAAGTCCAAGTCCAAAGAACATGAAGCCGTGAACCAATAAACATCTGTATTAAAATTGCATGTAATTTTTATTTTTATTCTTTCCTTCTCCTAGTTTCAGCGTCAACAAGGAATAAGGCAAGGTCTTAATTCATCTTGGGTGTGGGTCAGGCTAAATCAGCCTCTGAATCAATCAATCAAGCCACTGGTCAATTGTCGGTCAAACATTAAATTCTCCATCAATCTTCATCTCAGAAACAGCACAAAGGTGACGTTCTTTCAATCCTTCACAGCACTGCCACCCTCGCCACCGGACGGTGAAACACAGACGCCAAATGACTGAAAGCAAGGCGCGGTAACTTCCGTGCTTTCTAGTCTGCCTCGCCATCAGCACGTGACGAACCCCTTACTTCTTATTCCCGCGCGATCGACTCACCCGGCGATGATCAGCTCGATTTCCCTCTTCCATGTCGCGATCGCACAAGGGCTAGGACACGGATCCCGACCATCTCATACACTTAAAGGCTGAGGGTAAAAGGCTCAGCCTGTTTTTTTTTGATTGATTGATATCTTAGACAGTCACTTCTTCCAAGCTTTTCCCCGGGCAGAACCCTCAAGACACAATGGCCGGAATCGTCAGCTTTGTCGGCTTCCTCATCTTCACCTTCGGGTTGGTGATCCCTGTGGCGTTCTTTGTGAGTTCAGACACTTGATTGGCGAAATGATCACTTCTAACGATTACCCAAGATGTTCTACACTGCCTATTCGGTGTTCCCTATTCTCGCGGCTGTCGAGGACTTTGATGCGCCCATCTATGAAAGCCTCGACCTCCCCCAAGTCGTCGACGAGGCTAAAGCTCCAGGCGGTCTTGAAAAAGATGGCCCCAAACCTCTGCGCGTCAGCTCCAGCCTCCGCTCCATGACTCGCCTGCTCTACTCCAGCAGAAGGTGCTTCTCCTTCTGTCGGGGCTACAGCTGGTTCTTCTGCTTCGGCATCATCAAGAGCCTCGCTCTGGGAGTGTGCGTCAAGTCGCCCTTCCTAGGCTTCCTCGCCCAGATCCTGCTCCCACTCGCCGCCACCCGTTTCCACACCCTGTGGGTGCACTCCGTCCTCTCCTCGTCGAGAAAGCACGCCTCCGTGGAGGCCAGGAAGCTCTTCAGGACCGCCGGCCCGCCCATGGCGCTGTATCTGACATCGGAAGCCGTGGTCCAGCGGATCGTTGTGCAGTACTACAAGGGCGTCGGCATGAAGTGGGAGGACTTCATGCCGATCGGGGGCCACTTCCACAAGTCGTTCATCTTCTGGATGCTCCTCGCCGTTCTGACGTTTTTCCTCGTCGTCCCGGCGTACGTGCTTCTCGTGCGCGCCGAGGCCTCCCTGCTGCCCTCCGACGAGCAGACCCTGGTCCCGCTGGATCCCGCTCTGGAGGGCCTTTCCGAGGGTGGTGTGATGGCTCTGGTCGGGGCGTGGAGGTCCTTGACCCGTGCGAGGGTCATCAACTTGGTGCTTCTCTACATCAAGATGTTCATGATCACCGTTCCTGTGGCGTTTGTGCTCGGGTTTGTGGACTTTGCATGGTATATTGTGATGGCTATGGAGAGCTGGAGGTTTTAACGAGGTAGTAGGCTATTAGAATCTTGGTCAATGCTGAGATATTTGTTGGATCATTTGTTCTCAGGACCATATGGTGTCTGTATCCCCTGTAGAGCAAATGAAACTCAGCGGATAGACTGTTACGGCGCCCAGCGATACTGGTTTAACTCAGTTGTTGGTCGGCAAGCGGATACTAACCAGAGTTTCTCTACAAAGGAAGCAGATATCTAACTATTCAATATAATATCCAAATCCCACCATCGCTCCATGTCATACATGCTCTAAAAAACAACCAACTCTAGAAACCCACTAAAGCTTCGACCTCTTGACCCTTCTAGCCTCCTTCTCCTTATCTCTCAGCACGCGTCTCAGGATCTTCCCAGAGGGGCTCTTGGGAATCACGGGGATGAACTCGATGCCGCCCTTGAGCCACTTGTGCCTGGCCTTGTGCTCCTCGACGTGCTTGTTGATCGACTTGACCAACTCCTCCTCGGCCTTCGAGGAGGCCTCCTCCGACTTTGTGATGTACGCCTTGGGCAGCTCGCCGGCACGCTCATCGGGAACCTGGATCACGGCGCAGTCGGCGACGTCGGGATGGGTCAGTAAATGAGCTTCGAGCTCAGCCGGAGCAACTTGATGGCCCTAATCAAAAACGCCTATGTTAAACTCGATTACAATATGAGATTCGGGGGGATATCTCACCTTAACCTTGATCAGCTCTTTAATGCGATCAACAATAAAGATGTGCTCGTTCCCGGCCGGCGACTTCTTCACGACCACCTCGTCCCCCGTCCGGATCCAGCGCCCGTCCTCGTGCCACACAAACGTCTCGGCGTTGGCCTTCTCGTTCTGGAGGTAGCCCAGCACGACCGACGGGCCCTGGACGAGGAGCTCGCCGGGGGTGTCGTAGGCGGTGATCTCCCGCCCCTCGGGGTCGACGATCTTGGCCTTCATCGCCGGGAGGAGGGAGCCCGCCGACCCGAACCAGATGTCGTGCTCGCTGGTGGATGAGACGACGGTTGCTGTCTCCGTCATACCTATTTTTCCCCTCCTGTCAGTTCCCAACATCGCGACAAGATTAAATTCTGGGGGAATTCTTACCGTATCCCTGCCCAATCTTCCACTGGGGGTACAGCGCGAGTAGCTCATCCGCCGTCTCGCGCCCGAGCGGCGCGGCACCCGTGAAGACGGTGCGCAGGGAGCTCAGGTCGTACTTCTTGCACACGTCCTGGTGCCGCAGGAACAGAATCAGGATGGGCGGGACGAGGGCGATGGACTCGATCCGGAATCGCTCGATGGCGGAGAGGAAGGCGGCCAGCTCGAAGCGGGGGAGGACGACGATCTCCTCGCCGCGGTAGGTGCACAGGTGGGTGACGGGGACGAGGCCGTAGATGTGGCTGAAGGGGAGGACGCCGATGCCGGCCTGCGGCGGGGGGTTGCCCTTGAGGGAGCGGGCGTGCATGTCGAAGGACATCTTCTGGATGACGTTGGCGATTACGTTGTAGTGGGAGATCATGACGGCTTTCTGCGGAACAGTCAGGTCACAGGATTAAATGAAGAATAAAGATAGGGAGGGAATAGACTCACGGGCAGGCCAGATGTTCCGCTGGAGTAGCAGAGGTAGGCTACTTGGCGTGCGCCTTGGCCGGTCACCCACTGGAGGGGGGGCAGCTCCGGCAGAGACTTCCCCTGCTCTATTAAATCATCGACCGTCTTGAAGGACGTCTTGCTCTCCGCGCCGGGCACGGGGAGGATGAAGATGCGCTCGTGGGGGATCCCGGCCGCCTCTGCCGCCTTGAGGGCATTCTCCAGCAGGGGCACGCAGGTGAAGAGGACCCTGGCGCCCGAGGACCTGAGCTGGTGCTCGAGCTCGATGGCGGAGTAGGCGGCGCTGGCGGGTGTGACGATGCCGTTGAGCCTGTGGACCGCGTGGGTGAAGGGGATGTAGTCAATCTATCAATATCTACTATTAGACGAGCGCGAGACAAGCGAGAAAGCGATGGGCCAGCTCACCGTGTTCACCGAGTAGAGGCAGACGATCTTGTCCCACTCGGTCCCCTCGTTCGGGTGGAAGTCGAGCTCCTTGCTCAGCGCGCGGGCGAGATGGTCCTCGCGCGTGATGACCTCGGCGGCCGTGTACGTCTTGCCCGTGATGCCGCAGGTGTAGGGATTCCGCGACTGGGCGATGGGGGTCCGGCCGTATTTCTCATTCGCCATGAACTCCCCGACGGTGACGGTGTCGGGCGGATCTGCTCTGCGTCAGTGTCACTCACACAAGCCGAAAAGCTATGAGGGGTTACCGACCGATGAACAGCTTGGGGACCCATTCTGGGGCTGTGAAGACCATGGCGACTGTTTCGTCTGTCCTCTCTGGAGCAGAAGGGATGGATGCAGGTGCGCGAAGGGGAGGAAGGGGAAGCGAGACGATCAAGCCAGCTTCATTTATCTGGTCTGCTTGCCGCCCCTGCGCTTGCACCGCATTTTCGAACCGAAAACCTCCTCGGCTCAATGCCAAAGACAGGAAAAGGCCCATACAATCGCGAACTAGGCGTGGGGGCACCAGCAAGCATCCCCACAATCAATTCACCTCCTCCTTCTTTCATACTATTCATCAGGCCTACGCACAAACAGGGGATAGCGATGGGCTCTTGGTCGACCGGAGTCTGGCTCTTCCCCCGCATTTGCCTCGCAGCGGAATCCGGGGGCCAAGTCACACGCCCGAACCTGGGAGACTAGCAGTCTGGGCATATCCTTGTCTATCCCAAGTCTGTCCTGGTGTCCGAGATTAGATGCTTGTACCCAGTGGCCATGTTGGACGCGCGACAGATCCATCATTAGCAGGATTGATGGCAGCTTCATCATTAGCAGGAAGGACATCGCACAAGGCGAACGGCTCGCCAGTTTTGTCTCGTTCAGGAAATCCCGCCCCGAGAGCGGTTTGAAACACCAGATGGCATCTCGGGCCAAATCAAGTCCGTGTCTTGTGGGGTTGGAGTCCGGGGAACCGTCCTATCATGAAACAGTGTTTTGAGCATTAACAAACAGTACGCGATATCCCCGCAAGATTCCCTGCGCTTTGTGGTGCTCGTGATCAATCTCTCCGCCTCTTCCTTTCCGCGCTCTCGAATCCGTCCAGCCTTACCCTCGATTCATTTCCTCCCAATCCTCTCCAAAACTTCGTCAATCGAATGCCTGTTCCTGACAATGTACCTTATCCAAATACCTGACGTTGCGACTCGTGCAATGCACATGAGCGGCACAAACGGTCGTGCATGCTCAATTGCGGACTCTGGATCCGCTCCTCTGCACGGTCAAAGTTAATTCATCGAACCCAAAGCGGATGCCTCATCAATACATACCATCCATGATCGCGCCTTGATCTCTCAGGGAGGCCTATGCCGTAACCACGCCCTCCTCTGCCTCACCCAAAGGCATCGCCGCAGGACGGTAGCCAAGCAGGAAACCGGCAGTTGGGCACCACAGCAGAGCGTCTTCCTCCCGGACTTTTCCCTGCACAAAACGGAACCATCCTCTGGGGTGGCCCCTCATGCCCAGCCGCCCGCGCAAGTTCGGCGTGGTCGTATCGACTCGCTCTGCACCGAGGCCGAGCAGAGTGTTGACAAACGAGTGCTGCCGGGTCGGCCGCACATTCGCCAGAAGGTAGTCGTGGTGCTGGGTCTGGGTAATGGCTATGGCTTCCAGGATGGACCGGCCCTTGTACTCGCCCCACGGCGGCCGCCATCTGATGTCCGCGCCCTTCTCGATGAGCTTCCTGATGGTCACGGGGTCCAATTCCTCGGGTAGGCCGGGACCCGGGCCGAACATGTCAATGGCTGAAGCTATCAAATGCGTATCGGGAGCTTTGTTCTGGGCTTCCCGAAAGTCCTCGCTGGCAGCCTTTTTCACGACATTCATCAGGAAGAGGAAGAGCATGTCATTTAGCTCTTCCTGGAAACCAATATCAACATTTCTCGGCGTCAGGAGAAGGTCCAAGATGGCGTTCCAGCGGTGTACGATGACCTGCTTCTGCTCCGGGGAGGGCACAAGCCGTGGGTGTGGGACCATCCGCTGCACCAGAAATCCCGGGTCCAGCCCCGATACATTGTCTTTCCAGAGGAGGAAGGAATGCACCGCCCCTCTCACTGCTTGCTTGCGGATGAGGATTCTAATCATGCCATATAGATCATCGTTCAGCAGCGTCGCGAACCCGTTGTTCTTGGCCCAGAACATCTCGAGCAGCGATGGAGGGGGCTTCTCGGATTTCATGCGAAGCTGGGTCGTTGCCCGAATGACAGCACCATGGTGAAACAGGTATTGGAGTCCTTCTGAGGCAGAAAGGGGTCCGGTCTGCTGCCTCTCGCTGAAGTCGGCGAGCACGTAGGCCCACACGGGGGTGATCATATAGTGTCCCTCTACGGACTCTTCGAGGACCTGGAGGTCTGCAACGAGTGGCCGGTTGATTCCCAATCGAGATGTCAAGAGCATATCGACGATGCCTGTCTCTCCAGTCTGAGCCATGCGCATTGCGGCAGAAAGCATTGGCAGGTGGTTCCGATAGCTGACTTGCAGGTTGCGCTTGTAGGGCGGCGCCGTCAATGGATCGAATACGGTCAGTAATTGTCGGAAAGGTTCGTAAGTGACTAGGAACTCGGCGAAAGCTGCCGCGTCCTGCTCAAGGATGTACTCGACTGCGTACTCCAGGTCCTCGTAGGTGGGGAAGCGGCCGTATGAGATGGCTTTGGCAAGAGCCCATCTCTCCCCGTGAGAGACACCATAGAACATCAGTTTCTGTCGGGAGGCGGGCGTAGCAAGCAGGAAGGGCTCCCATTTGCGGTGGTAGGCCTTGCTGCACTCGCCCAGTCTCGCTACCTCTCTTAGGGATAACCAACTTGAAATCTCCAAGCATATGTCTGGAAGAAGGTCGACATTCATCGTCGCTACTACTGCTGCTGACAAATAGGAAGATTTTTCTCAACACCACTACAAATGGAGATGAAGTTAGGGGAAAGAGAAGGGGAAGGAGAAGGGGAAACAGGAGGGAAAATGAACAGACTCTTCGGCTCGGGGTACCAGCTGAACGCTCAGATCGCTTGCACCCCACCACTGAGGTCAGCGGCGTCATTTCCCCTCCTTTGTGGTGTTGAGTGAGGCTGCAGGCTGCATCAGGCCCTTCTGCATTTTGGAGCATCATTCATGCGAGACGCTGGTTCATCTTGGATAAGACGTTCAGAATGTTGTTTCATCCCTATAAGGCTGCTGGGTTGCCTATTTTCCTAGCGCCATAACCAACTATTAAAGTAGACACTACGGGAATAGCTACCAAGGAAACGGTGGTGACAACCTAACCTAACCTTCGCTCACAATGCAAACCTCCAGAGCTGAATTCGGGAGTGCATTAGTGGAAATTTAGCGTCTACGATGCTGCCCAATCAACCTCGAAATTAGGCGAGCATAAATGGCCACACGGCCACCGCCCTTTTCCTCGGACAGGATTTGTGCAGGCAAATGAGCCCAATCAGAACCTACCTAATCAGAGCCGAGGGGCGGCTTGATAAGATTTAGAATTACATATAATAAATCGTTATCACTTGAATTGGGGGAAGCACGGTTTCTAGCGGGCGGGCAGGTTACTTTCCCACCAGCTGCATCGGGATTTTCAGTCGCCAAATGAGTTGTGTTCCTCCCTGGGCCCTCTTGCGTCGCTGGCCAGTTCATATTTATAGCGGCCATATTCACGAGCTCCGCATCCAGGACCGATACATCCTATCCTATTTCCTATTTAGGGGATGAAGCTATAATGACTTTGTTCCTTTCCCACCAGATTACCCCTGTGGAAATATTCTTCTGAAGTCAGCCTTTGCTTACATTTCAATCCTAAAGGATGCGCTGCCATCCCAGCGCTATTCCAAATAATTCCCGACCCAGCCTAACCCTACCCACAGATCCAAATCGGTCCATATAGACGGTAGTGTTTATCGTGAATCTGGTTCTCGGGTATCGCCACCACCCCAGATGCCCCGCTTCCGGCTTTCGGCCATGTGGTAATAGTGACATGCGTTGACCGACAGTGACCCAACGTCCTCGGTAGGATGCACAATCCGCGATACGTATTTGGATCGTAAATCACCCAATCGGTAATATCGATGTCAAGGTTTGGCAACGCTACTGGAATGATTGCATTTTCCTTACGTATGCGGTGAGCTCATCCCCCTATCGTGATTCGCAGACCTGGCCAGGGCTTGACGCCACCGTGGAGGGGCTGGACCTCGTCTGACACTTGGGGATCGCTCCCATGCACTGGTCTTATATAAGACAGGTCAGCATATCGCGAAAGGGGATGCTACTAAAAATGAATCTTTACTTAATTCCCCTGGTGTAATGACAATTCCCAGAAACTTAGCGCAAACATCTCTCCCCTTTTCCTAGTGACCACAGTGAACAATAGCGATCACGAGATGTACGGTCGCGAAAATCTACCTGGGTTCTTCAGAATCCCCCGCGAGATCAGAGACCAGATTTACGAAGAGCTGCTAGTCCATTCGGGGTGTATTTTTCTGGATGTAATTTGGTCGCGACCGGCATCTCTAGGCTTCACATTCAACAACCGGCTACTCCCAATCTCCCCGGAAATTCTGCGTCTCAATCGAAGGGTACACCAAGAAGCGACAGAGGTTCTGTATGGCAAAAATCAATTCCAGATTGAGAACGTCAACAACTTCACCCGCTTTCTGGGTGATATCGGTCCGGCGAATTCAGCGCTGCTTCGGCATCTGATAATCCCCTTCCCCTACTTCAAAGAAGATGGCGGCGTCGTCGCAGTGCGGACCGACTCCGTTGGTATGCGGGCAATCGACTTGATACAGTCAAAATGCCAAAATATCGTCGTCCTCGAGACGTGCCTGTTCAGCAGCAACCTGGTGGAGTCGAAACTGGACACTCTCGGCCATCCTGAGGCCGTCAACCAGGCCCTGGACTTGTTCATGGACAAGTTTTGTGCGATGCCTTCCTTTCGCCACTTACGGGTCAACCTCTTCGATAAGCCAGTTAGCCTTGTATTTCGCGATATTGTGAACAATCACAAACGTGTCATCGTTGTTACGAACATGAGTTCGTCGGGTTAGGGCTTCGGCGGGGTACTGGTGTGAGCTGGATGTGTATATTTCTCGCCATGACTTCTCTTTTCTTCTTATCGGCATGCGAGCGACGAGGGAGCCTATATTGATGACGTTTTAGTGATCGCGCCACAATAATAATCTTATTAATGATATTAGTTAATCTGACTCAATTGATTCTTACAGGCGAGGCTGCAGTGCCAGCACAGCTTTTCAGTTTTTCCTTCTAGCTGTCATAGAAATTTGCTGCATGGGATGTCAAAAGACGATTGATAACACCTGGACGTCCCTCTAATGGGTTTGATTGAGTCCACCGGCGCAATTTTGCAAGGTTGCTTCGTGTCAACAACCAAGTCAGCTCCTATGGTGTGTGCTTTAAACGACCGATCATCGATGAAATCTTGGGCTGCCGGGAAGCCTGTATTCTCAATTACCATGGCACCGGCGGAACGCAGAAGCTCCAGCGTTGTATCAAATATCTTGACAATTAACCCCGTGCCGTTGTCAGACATGGGGGAGATGGCATTGCGAGGGACTCCTACCGAGCGCCAGTAAGTGCTTCAAGCTGACAAGCGTCGACGAAATTCAGATTAACTTCATTCGAAATGGAAGAGGTGCAATTTTAGGTCAACGCCCACAATACCCTCTAGGACCTAGGCGGAATCTTGGACAGTCTTCGCCAAGGGGCCAATCGCATCCATACGCTCGCTAATTGGGATCACAAGGTGACGAGACTTCATCCGACAACTACGAAGGTTACGTCAGTAGACATTTTTTGTTTCGTCGTCCAAACAGTGCATACTTGGCTTGACTCTAACAACGTTGGTGCGACTAGAGGGGCCTATGATGGAGCCAGATGTTTCGCCGCCCTAGCAGACGGTCGCAACGCCGAGTCTGAGACAGTCAGCCCTAACTGAGCCGGCAAGGGACAGATGAACCACCAACGAAGCTGCAACCTCGCTGCCGTGGATCTTGGTGAGGGTTGAAAGCGCCGTAAGTTCCCCGTAGGCCGACAAGCTGGTGTTAGAGTTGAACATCCGGAAGTTGCGCGCCATTGGCTGGGGTTCGTTTTACCCAAAACAGTGGCTCCTGATTCTCGAAAGTTTCTCGCGACGGTCGGGTCCGTTGGTACTTTGGCTTCCAAGAGCACATAGGATCCGGTGGTGTTATTTGCGCATCTGCCCCGTCCAAGAATTCAGTTAGCAAAGTAAGCAGAGGGTTTCGACCGAAGAAATCGAGTAAATTATAAGTCAAAGGGACATGTAAAACGACAATCATACCTGATCTTTGGTCGAGATGGGAATCCCACGTAGAGGACTACCAGATCAGCCATATGGATGTGTTAAATGTAGAGAGGCATACCCACGAGTCCTCCCCCATGAGCGCATCAAGCCTGGAAGAATGCACAATGCATATGGATGTATATCGGTGACGATGGACAGTTCGTCATTTACGCCTTTGATCCGAGCAATAGAAGCCTAGGTAGTCGATGTTGAGATCCGCAATTTTCCAAGAGAATTCGAGCAAAGTAGTACAGTAAATAGCCTTGATCAAATCAACACTCGTATACGCTCGAGAATCAAGACCTCTTGCAAGAGTCTCAACATCTGCTTCGGTATCAAATTCGCTTCGATCGCGCGCTGGAGAGTCGGCATTGGATGATTTGGTCCTATTCGCTCAACCGACCCTCGTCGTTTCAATGTTCCGAACAGCCCTAGGCTGGCGTTGGGAGTGCCCAGAATGGCTGGAGTAGAAACTGTAAGATCGTATTTGTAGAATCTCGTAAAGTCCCAGCACCGGCTTGTCCGTGTAAAGGGATTCAACTACGGAGCGAAATGTCAGGGAATTTGACCATCAGGTTTCCTGCCACTTAGTTGGGGGAAGAAGCAGAATGTAGGATGCCGCGCTCGGAGCTTTGGGAGGAGGATGCTGCGTTCGAGCAGTTTTTTGGCGCAAGAGGCTAAACGAGGGTGATTTCTTAAGCAAGATCAGGGATGGGATTTTTAAATGCTGCCTTGCACGGCTTCAGAGGGGTCAAGGAGGATGAGCTGCTGCTCGTCTTCAAGGAAATGGGGGCTGGGCGCTTTCTGTGTTCATCGGACACTGAGGTTACACGCCTCAATGTACTTGGCTGTCGCGCTGGGGGTACTTCCAGTTGTTAGATTTCGGTGCTTTGGGGCACAACTGGAGTAGCGCAGAGATGTACCTCAAGGCTGCAAAGAGGTACTTCTTTGCAACCCATCCCCGAGCGAAGAAACGGTCGTGGCATATCCGATACGCAGGCAGATTGTCAAGGCGATCATAGAGAGGATAGTTAGAAAGGCCATAAATGAGCGTACCGATCAGTTTATGCGTCTCTAGGTATTTAGATCTTGTGCTGTTTATCTACAGGTAATATATGAACCCCTTTCTTCAAATTTGAGCGGTTTTCGACGACTGAAATGATGATGAACCATACATACCTACTTACCTACCCACATGTAGTTTCCGTTTCCAAAGAGTTTTGCTACGCTGTTCGTTTATTGGAAAGCGAGGGACTACTCATACTCTGGCCATAAATAAACGAGAATCACTTTGACAGGGCAAAAAGAAGGGATCTGGGTCTTTGAAAGCGAATAGTGTTTTCTCATGTGCATTTAATCTACCTAAAGAGTCCAGACACTTCATCCCACGGTTTTTCAAATTTATAAACATCTAGGGTAGGCCGCTATCATGGGCCCGGAGCACCTCGCTGAACAAAACCTCAAAACGCAGATATTCGTGGCCTATGGATTTAGTGAAACAATCTAGGATCCCGCTTGATATAGCTTCGTCGAGTCCATAGAAGTTCTCTTTGCGCTCACGTAAATACGAACCCCTGTTGCAGAGCCTCTCGCCCTTGCCTTCGTAGGTGGCTTATCGTTCAGCACACTCGCTCGGTTTCAGGCTTTTCGTCCCCAGCTGCCGCTTGTCCCAATATGCTTCGTTTGGTCTCGGTCCTGATGTTCTATCTAATTTAAATGTATGGGAATCCAGAAATACTAAGTCCCGTACTCAAAGAGAGAACTTGTTGTTTACGTTTGGCCCCTCACTGAGGATCAACAAAATACATCTCTTGCCTCAATCTTACGATGTTTTCTAGACGGATACGGCTTCAATGACCCGCCAGGCATTCTTGAACATGTTTCTATGTCTAGGCACTGTCAGCTTTCGTATGCAGCCTCCTGTTGGAACGGGGAGCACGATATCACAAAATGTGGTCGTTCCCATGCCCTTTCCACGCCTACAGATTTGGCCTCACTATCAGACGCTACGAAGCTCTACTCTCCAAAAGAGGACTCGATAATCTCGCCCAAGGGCCGCTGTCCATGCCAGCCCGTTGATTTTATTTGCCTATATTTGGACCAACAAAGGCAGAGGAGTGATCTCTGCTGGTAAAATCCACTCATCCTCTTCCGCCTGATTGTACCCCAAGTGTCTCCCGTTACGATTTAACCAGCAATTCATTATTGGCCACAACCACTTTAGCCACAATCATTAGCACCACATACTCGAGCTGCCTGAGCCCTTGATCTAGCCATGCTCCGCGCGATCACTCTGAATCCATTCTGTCCCTCGTTGCCCCCGTGACCAATCCATAGAGCAGAGACTGTGAATCACCTTATGGCAATGATATCATAACAACTTCCCGTGCCGATAGCCGAACAGGCTCATGGCGCTACTTTTTCAAGGACCCACTCAGGGGTGTGCCTGATCGGATGGCCCCAGAGATCAGGTAGGTAGATCTCTGGGGTACATTCTCTCTGACCCCTGGCCCGAAGCTGGGGTAGTTTTAAACATTTTTGGGATTAGACTATTTACAATACTCTAGACTACAGCTTAGTGGAATTCTCATAGGTGGTATTAAGCTACCCCCTTGTCTGAAGTGATCGTGGGGTTGTAGACGGGTAGAGGGGCAGTTTATGCCCACCATGTAAACACTCACATACGTTAGGGGAATTGTGCATTCAAACACCTACCAAGGTACGTACTTACCTCGAGAGAAGCATGTGGAAGGATACAGAAGGCAGTAGTCGGGGAAATGTGAGGCAGAGACCGAGCCTGGAAGAAGAGGGAGTGGGCGGGAACCAAGAAACTGCGAGCAGAAGGGGGGAAATCGGGGAGATCTCGGGGGAAAACGCGGGGCACACGCGAGCAGGAATCACAACAAGGCCAGAGTGATTCGCAAGGTGAGAGGAAAGTGAGAGAAGCCAAGATACCTTCACAATGTACCTGGTTGATGCCTCAGGTACACGTTCTGAGACGCCTACAAAAAGGCAGCTCGCCCCTCGAGCTCTATTATTCTTTCTTTTCCTTCCTCCACATCCTCACATCTTCCTCGAGAACTTGGGTTTTCCAAGTTATCATCACCCTTCATCCTTCGCCACGCCTCCTCCTTCACCACACCTCATCCTTCACCACCTTCCATCCTTCATACATACCCAAGACACATATCCTTCCCAACAACTTCGACACCTCCTACCACCCAACACAAGAAGACACCACTCGACCAGACCTTTCTGCACACGCGTAAGTCACAACACAACTTGGCATCACCTTGATGCAGTCCCTTCTAACCATTCCACACAAGACACATCTCGTTCGACACTCCCTCCAACCCAAGACAAGAAGACATCATTCGACAAGAAGATCTTCCAGATGCGTAAGTAAACAACACAACTTGACTTCACATCCTGATCCAAACTCTTCTGACCTTTCAACAAAAGGCGCGTCTCCCCTCCGACAAACCAGCCAACACATACACAGATCCCATCACTGGCACCTTGGTGTAAGTATCACTGATGCTCAACAGCTCCTCCCTCATGAACGTTGTGACACATCTAATAACCCCTCAGGTCAGAAGCGTAAGGCATTTCAGGATGATGACATCAACGGACGAGTCCTGGTGCCGGATCCTATAGGTAATTCGGCGATGACGCCACAAGGCTGGCTAGTCGGTTACCTGGGCACTCAAGCAAACCTAGACTTTGCAAGGCTCTTGTGTGTCGGCCAGAGAGATTCGGTAGCTCGAACCGTCTAACTCCCGCGCCTCCATAGTACGGCTTCTCTGAAACGAGGGCGAGGTCCCTGCGTTGTCCGATTGGTGAGAGAGGGCATGCCTGACCTTGCTAAGCTTTGACTTGCTCGGTGTACGTCCGCGTACGACCATTGAACAATATCAGACTCCGGTCTCGATGTTCTTTGAGCAGCGCATGCGCCCTGTCGGGGACTGTGTGGACGGTCCTTGGCGCCTCGGCAGCTGAGTGGCGAGGCAACGCATACCTTTCGCTGGGTGAAGTCAGGAACTGGGCACAATCCTTGCGGGGGATAGGCACTACTTGGGTGAGATCCACGTAGTCAGGGCTGCTGCGGTACACAAAAGCCCGGGTGGGTGGGCGCGCTCCGACCTCGTGGGCGCGGGATAATTATAGTTGTTGGAGGGGGTGTGTGTCTCAACATCTCAAGCATCTCAACCATTTCAAGGTAAGTTCCTTCTTCGTTCCCTCTCTTCCTCAATTACGATTCTAATGTTTTCAACGCTCAGGGCTTTTTCAGTGCGGGTGGGAATGGACTAAATGATTTCATGGTCGGTGGTGGTGGAAATAAGATGGAACACTGGGGTGAGACAAAAGGATCAGAACGGAACTTGGCACAGATGGGGCACAATGTGTAAAGTAGAATGATTCTCTTGTAATGGTAGATCGGAGCAGATCGAACGGATGCGTTGGTGTTTCCCAAATGGCACATTTTCGCAAATAAACACGGTTCAAACGCGAACATCACAACGTGAGGCTCGTCTTGAAAAACATGAAAATGCTGTAAGATTGCGCATGGGCTTGTGACAACTGCTCTCTTGGTTCGCATCCAGATCTTCCACTCTGCTTTTCCCACATCCTTTCGCTCTTTCCCTTCCATCATCACTTCTTGCCTTTGATTCAACCTCCTTTGTGATCTTAGCCGCCAGTTTTCGTCACCGTGTTTACTGCGTGGCACCACGTTCAACAACCGCCAAGTTTTGAGGCGCGCATCAAGCTACTACCTTGGGCATCTCTCCATCCTCCCCACACGCCTTGATATGACGTATCAATACTGCAAACCATTTGCAAGAAATCCTAAACCACCATTCGCTAGAACTCAAAACGCGACCAACAGCCCCATCTTATCGGCCTCGACCTCTCAGTGCTGTGTGACTCCATTTAGGTTGCGGCTCTACCTGCCCCTGTCGATTAGTGGATCAAATCCAACATCTCAGTGGCACCACCCACCAACTGCCGGCGCTACGGCCCCTGAAGATCTCAGATTTAGGCCATCCAGGATTTCACCGTGCACTAACCGTATCCATTAGCATTCCATGAACCTTCAAGTGTCTCGACCCCGTGCTCCTCCATTTCCGTGAGCGCGAGTCGGTTTGTTGCACAATACGATGCGCTCACGCAGGAAGCCTTTCCCATCGCGCGGGGATGTTTTCATGGTGACACCTTCTCCAGACGGGATAAAGAAAAGATGGAAAGATCAGTGAGGGTTCGTATCACGTTACTCTCGATGCTCTCCTTCGAGCCCCATCGTGCACCGCGAGTCTACTGACCAACGACCATCTAGACTTCTCGCCCGCTCGTCTATTCGGCTTGTCCCAACCCAATTCCAGTGTGCCGCAAGCTCCCAGGACCTCCACCTCCGGAAGATGCGATTTATCTTGGCTGCGCTGGCCCATCATACGATCCAGGCTTGGAGGACGAGGTTTCCACAAGGAGAAGCTCAGTTTCAGTTGTACATCTGCAATGAAGCCTTCAATTTCTACGAGGGATGCTGAGTCCTGAGGAGGATATGATCACAAATGCGTTGTAAGCAGCCGTCAGGCCCTTCCACTCGCTAACAAACAACGGCCACTAACCTTGATGCCCAATGCTGCGGGTCTAGTTTGAAATAGACCATACAGTCTGCTTGAGCCAGGTCATGGCCTATCCATCATCAGGCAGATGCCGCAAGAAATCTCGACCTATGGATATTCGTTGACGGACTCCAGCAGGGACCATGCAGATGAAAACCGAGAAGACCAAAATCCATCCAACTCAAATGATCAAGGCTACTTTCATAAGAACATTCCATCCCTTTTCTGTCTCGCATTATATCTAACATGACGGCAGTGTTTTGAAACCATATCCGAGGCCACTCGAGATAGGCTTCCTGCTCTCTACAACCTCCGATCGCTCGATTACCACGACTGAACGACCCTCGGTGAACTGGCCTCCAACGCCGCGCTTGGGATGCAGCAAACGAATCGCATATACACGACCCCAGAAGTGCTATTATTTGCCAATCAAAGAGATCACCCACCGCAATGAATCTATCAAGTCAATGGATATGGGATAGCACAAATGTCAGAATTTCAGAGCATAACCCCTCGAGTCGAAGCGCCCGACCCCAATTGCTCAATACCCATGGCACTTTCCTTGCCTCGAGTTCAAAGTGCACAAGAGGCTTTGGGGGCCGTTTAACTTCTTCCCAAAATCAGTTATTAGCCTCAATTATGGGTGGTGAGCGGCCCGTTATCTGGATGACGTTTACGTTGCTAGAAGCCGACCGCTACACATGTCTCTCTTTTTCCAATATTCTCTTCAACCCGTGGTGTATCTAGAATCTAGATCATTAGATGCTTGTGATAGACAATAAACCAAGGTCCCATTGCGAAAGACTGAGTTTATCTTCTCACAGAAGATATCTGCCAAATTTTGCCCTGATGGGGGTAGGAGGGACCTCCAGTCTGTGGTTTGGACTTGGTGTTCGGCTTGCAATTACACTGCGTGGCCCGGCCCATGATTCACACACAGCAATTCTTAGCCACAAGTAGCCCAGAGTTACAAACCCCAGCAGATTTCCCATCATAGAAGCTTCTTGAATCACATGAGAATCGAACCTTAACACATACTTAAGCACAGTAATCACGTTAGCAAAAAGTTCAACAAATTAGACTAGATTTTGGTGGCGAGGAAGATGGGTGAATCTGTCATAGTCAAGTCCACGTCACGCCTCGCGCTCGACGGAATCCCGCGGGCCTCTAGAATCCCTCAGCAGCTCAGGATTCGAGCTAGAAATTACCAAAACTAGGAAGGTGGAGCAGGTTCCAGAGCCGATGATCCTAGAATGGTGACAAACTCCCGCGGCGGAAACGCGCGGATTTCCAGGTCCGAACCTCTGTGGATATCTACCCTACAGCCCGAGCCTGGCCTTGACAAATCCAATCGACGGCCAAGTATCCAGTGCATTAATGCGTGGTCCGTTAATTGGTGTTTATACGAATACTTCATCGGATTCAAGTGTAGAGCGAAATGACCGAGTCCGACGTCGATCAGGCCTATAACTACCATCGTTGTGCATCTCAAACATGATCTCACAGTAAACAAGAAACAGCAAGACAACTAAGATACACTCTCTCCAACTTTCCTTGCCACAATGACTTCAGTTCCAAATGTCCTCATCACCGGCACCAGTGGCTTCATGTGAGTTTCTCCATCTCTTCCATATCGATAAAAAAAAAAGATCTGACATGCATGATCCAACAAGTGGCGGCTCCCTTCTGGCTGATCTGCTCTCTCGCGCCGACGGTCCCATAAAAAACGCCAGGATATTCGCCGCGGCTCGATCCGACGAGCAGGTGAAGAGCGTGTCGAAACTCGGCATCAACGTGCTCCAGGTTGATCTCACGGATGAGAAGTCAGTCCTCGATGCCGTCCTGAAAAATGAAGGTATGTTTGGTCGCAGGCGCGTTGCTTGAGACTCTGGCTAATCTTTGGCTATCCAGTCGACATCATCGTCCACACAGCAGGCGCTATTCTTCCCCAGATGGCGACCAACATGATCAAAGCCCTCGGTGAACGACGCCGAGTCAGTGGGATCGAGACCCATTATATCCATGTGCGTCCCACGATGTCCCTTTTTTGGGCTTGCTTCGCTAACCATTGCGACAGACCTCGGTTGCGACCATGTTTTCGGAGGAAGGGGGCTGGCCCTACGGGCAAGTCAAGGATTCAGATGGTTCTATCGTCGAAAAGGAAAAGAAACTTGGAGAATCAAACCCCGTGCGCAAGGTGAGCCAACATTCTCAGTAAATCCACAGGTCGCTATTTGCTAAGATCAGCCTGAGACGAACGTAATTGTAGCGGAGCTAGGGAAGGCACAGGGCGTGACAACTTACAACGTCCCCGTCCCCACGGTCTGTGAGTGCAAATCCCAGCTATGGTTCCTTATCAGGGTCCAACAACTAACCTCCCACTTAAAAACAGATGGAAGAGGCACCGGGGAATGGAGGAAGCTGTCCGTGAATATCCCTGCGGTCACCAGAGCCAGCATGAAGCTCAAGACCGTCTACAAGTTTGAAAAGGATGGCGTAGGTTTTCCTGGGAGGTTCAAAAATAAGATGTTCATTCAAGTACTAACCAGGTGGCAGCACCCCCCCGCGATCCATATTTCCGACCTGACGGCCCTCTACGGCGCCATCCTGGAGAAGATTCTGCTCAAGGAGACCATTCCAAGCAACGAGAATGGTTACTACTTCGCAGTGGCCCATAAATCTCCCTGGTGGGAAGTCATGGAGCGTCTTGCTCAGAGCATGCACGCTCGGGGGCTCGTCTCCGAACCGACCGCCAAGGTCTGGCCCAGCTGGGAAGTGGCGGCTGAGCATACAGGGTTCCCGCTGATCTTCATCAGAGCAATTGGCACCTCCAAGTCAGTCTTCTTTCAGAGATGGGCCTTGGATACACTGATCTGATTCTTTCTTAGTGGAGATCTCGTCCCCGTTAATGGGCCCAAGATTGGATGGCAGCCCAAGTGGGACGAGAAAATGTACTTGGATAGCATTGACGACGAGGTCCAAGCCGTCTTGGATCTAGACACTGTGAAAATGACACTCTGGGATTCCTTGTAATTCTTGGGCGTGGATAGCTTGGAAGAGGCTTCCTGGAACTAATGAGTTCGTGGCGTTGCCGTGCAGTAAGGAACATGGCTTTCCTCCATAACGCAGCTTATCTACACTTATTTAGTAATAGAACATAGACAGCCCCTGGATATCACGGCTCATCAAAGGCCATATCCTCAACATTTATATCCTCATCAATGCTCTTTTTCGGCCACTGAATCCACTCATGCCAGCACTGATCCAGCTCGCGCTCTACCATGTCGATTACACATCTGCTCCATCCCTGGCTCACCCAGTCGCGATGCTCAAACGGCCGACCATACGCAGCAAAGTGCGCAAGTATAATAAGGGCGATATGATTTCCCTGGCCAAGCAGCTCGATGAAAATCAACGGCAGCGTGATGGGCCACGACCAGATAGCAGACTGTGCATCCACCGATGAGAAGGCGCACACCTGGTACGTTGTCCTCAAAGATTCCAGCGCCAGGATGCATGACGACTGCTCGTTGATCACCTCCATTGATCGGGGTAGATCTCTTGCTATGGTCGAGATCTTGTCTAAACGGCGGGTGAAAACGGTCGAGCTGGGAGGCTGGCTCGAGATGTTATCGTATGACTGGAGCAACGAAGCGAGAGGGCCGCGCTGTCGCCATTCCCCAAGAGGCTTGTAGTCGAGTATTCCCTTGACTCCCTGCAGGAGCATGAAAGCCTGGCAAACATGGTCCGGCGTAAGCGGCTTCACGGGGTGAGGAGGATGGGTAATGTGACAGAGACTGAGGGTGAAGATGAAGGAGGCGAGGTAGAAATACGCCTCGCAATTCTCCTCGTCGATGTCGCTTAGGCGGTCTGCAAAGTAGCGCAGGGCGAGACTCTGGTAGTGTGTTGAGACGACAATATACTCGGTGTGCTGTTGAGGATACATGTGCGCATAATGAAGAGCCGACACGGCTAGAAGCCCGTGCATTAAGAACTCCTTGATAATTGTCAGCCAATATGTCTTGTCTTGTGCTGGTCTCGCCTCTATCGATCCCTCACGACCGACAGGTCTTGCTTTTTCCCGCAACTTACATGCTGGCAAGCAGTCTTTGGAACCGTTTCTTTCCAGAGTCCCTCGGTAGCTGAGCGGGAGAGAGTTTTGTACGTGTGATTGCAGTAGTGCTGCATGAGCAGGAGGCTCTGCATCCACTGCGCAGGTATCTGGTTCCCATGTTGTTGGCCTTGGAGACTCGGCCACACACCATCGATGTGTCCTGGTGAATAAAGTCATGGTCAGCGATGCGTGCAAGCCTGTCGCGTAGTTGGTGGCTTCCCCACCTGTGACATTGTCCCCTTGCTGAGGCGTGGCAGCTTCAGTCGCCGTCACGTCCGTGAGAACAAGGCTCGGCGCCTCAATGGCCAGAGGGCTGGCAGTGACGGAGACGGGCGTCTGAGCCTGTTGCGGCGGTGGCGGTTCAGAGCAGACGAGACTGCACTCAACTCCGTGTCGGACGCAGTGCCCACACGGGCGTTTCTCATCGCACTGTCGCGGCGTCAGCAGAAGAACAGGGGCAGTTGGTCCGTCGATTGACTCGTGCTGCCGCGGGGACGAATTGAATTGCGCGGCTCACCTTGACCCGCCGGGCCTTGCAGCGCATACACCCGTTCCTGGATTTCTTGTGGCCAAGCCGCTTGTGCCTGGCGGGAGACATGGCCCATCCGATTTGACGATGGTCGTGGGATGGAATGGCGATAACGAGGCAAGTCTGATTGCTATCCGAGGGGGGACTGGGGAAGACACGCGGGCGGGTGCTCGGGTTCGTTTCGGTTCAATATGAGGTCATGCGGGTGGTAGGGGTAGCATCCATTCGAGAGGCATGGGCTGGTTGCAAAGACTCTCTCCCTACGCTGTTTCTGGCGGCTTTTTGAGATTTGGCCAGGTTTCATGCCCGCTTGATAGTATTTTTGTCTAATCTCGTACTCGTTGATGGTATCTCACTGACCCGAGACTCATACAGAGCGCGCGTGCGGATACGAATCCGAATGCGACCAGGATGGAGAGACTTTCAATTGACTTTAGTACACATCATGTTGATTGACTGAAATGCAGTTTGGTATTGATTAGCTAAAGTGATTCTAAATAATTTTCTTCAATTATATCTTTGAAGCCGATATGGCTCTACTATCATCTAGCAGAGCAAATAAAATCTTCATAACGTCCTCGTTTCTCATCTAGACGGCCAATGGGCAAAGATCCTCAGTGCTCATGACACTCATCTTGCGGATCATGTTACCAAAAGCCTCGGGGTTCGTCGACAGATGCGTGAACTCCTCAATGATGTCTGGAAGATCGCTGCTGCTATCCGAAGACTGGCGCGACTTGGCCGCCTGGTTCTGCGAGTGCCACAGCCCAGCCTCGACGCTGGCCCTGCGCAGCGCGGTGGGATCCTGCATGGCGATGGTCGAGAGCCTGCGCAGGCGCTCGTACCCCTGGGGGTTCTCCATGGCGAACGTGTAGACGTCCCTGCACATGTCCTGGATGCCGAACTCGGCGGCCCATCCGAGCTCGCTGGCGGCCTTGTCGGTGCTGGCCGTGACGGTGCCGAGGTCCCCTGGCCGTGCGTCGGAGATGGCGAACGGGATCTCGCAGTCCGCCGCGTTGGCAAAGGCCTTGATGATGTCGAGGACGCTGTAGCCCTGGCCGGTGCCCAGGTTGTACACTCTGTAGTTGTTGGGGCTTGTCGGTGTCTCCTGGCTGGCCGCGGACGCCACGGACGCCCTCCTGCCATTCTGGGTCTGCTTGGGGACGTACATGGATCGGAGGGCTGCCAGGTGGCCGCTGGCGAGATCGCCGACGTGGATGTAGTCGCGAACGCCGGTGCCGTCGTTGGTGTCGTAGTCTGAGCCGTAGACGTACACCCTGCTTCGTCGTCTTTGGTAGGCCTGGAGGATGACAGGGACGATGTTGTTCGGTGTGCCCTTTGGCTCCTCTCCGATGAGACCACTGGCGTGAGAACCTGTGGGGTTGAAGTATCGGAGCGAGACCACTTCGAATTCTGGGTTCGCGATGCAGCAGTCATTCAGGACCTCCTCTGCCATCCACTTGGTTCGACCGTAAGGGTTGGTGACGAGCCCCGAGCCGACGCCCTTGCCGCCGACCTGGACAGAGTCCTCTGCGATATTTGCCTCCTTCCCAGATCCGTAGACGACAGCGCTGCTAGAGAAGACCATGCGGGTGACCTGAGTCATGGACATGGCATCCAGAAGGTTCAGCAATCCTGAGATGTTGTTCTGGTAGTACTGCAGCGGTTGGCTCATCGAGTCTCCCACGGCCTTCAAGGCAGCGAAGTGAACCACGGCGATGATTTTACCCCCAGGCAGTTCGGGCACCACGTCTGGTAGGTCATCTGGCTGTCCGTTAAGGTTCAATGGATAATCACGAGTCTTGTATGACGCGCCATCAACCTTGGCACCAATGTCGACGACATCAAGCTTCATGGAGAGGACTTGGAGGTCGGGGTTGGGAGACTGCCACAGTTGGAAGGCATTGATGACGCGAGAGCGGTTTCGGAGATCGACGTTGCAGAAGAGGAGAGGAGCGAGGTTGCTGGTGTCCTTGCCAAGTCTGATCTTCTCATGCTTGTAGATGTGGTAGACACGGAGCAAGGCCTCCATGTGGCTGTTGACGAGGTTGTCAATGACGACGACTCCGCATTCTGTTTTGAGGATTTCCAGAACGGTGTGAGAGCCAATGTAGCCGGCTCCTCCCGTCACGAGGATGAGAGGGAATCCCTTGACCTTCTCTCGCAACTTGTGCAGGTTGACTACCGCAACCGGCATGTTGGAGAGATTGGCATCAGTTATGGTAGTAGAGCGAGCAGACATTTTGGATATGGCAACGGCCCAGAGAGATTTCTTACAATTTTAGTAAGAGGGAGATGGCGAATCATTTAATGCAGGGCAACGACGATTCTACTTAAGTACCTTGAATGGACCTATTTTTGGCCTGCATCCGGTATGCTATATCGAGGCTGAATCGGTCTCGGCTCCCGGAACTGCGAGGCTGAATCGAGGCTAATCGAAGATCTCCCTCTCCCGCAGCCAACAAGATACACTTTCCTTTCAAAGCCCTCCAAAGTTCGCAAATGGAAGCAGGAGGAATGCCAGAGGCCAAGAGCACAGACTGGTCGAACTCTCCATCATTCCAGTTCATTCCATCCAATCGTGGCGCATGGACGGCGTTGAGGCTAGAAGCACGTCGACGTGCCGGTTGCTTGAAGATGGCATGCAATGATATCTTCGTATCTTCCTTTTTTCGTTCCTGTCAGACTTACGCTTCAGCTGGATACGGAGAGGAAGAGTTGACCCAGTCACCAACAATAGTGTGCTTGTGACTGTCTTACATCTGCATCCGGTCACCATTTCCCGCCCCGGGCCGTCAATTAGGATGGCAAGGATGTCCCAGTATATCATTTTGCTGAAACATAAGTTCAAATATCTGAAACCATCCATGCATTAACAGTGATAGGACAAGCCGAAATGGTAGACGTCTGTGTCTTGTTCGAGTCGTCTTAGCACAGAAGCGGACAGTTCACGCCCAGCGAGGCTAAGACGTTTCCATAACAACAATGCTTGTTTGAATTGCACTATAGAACATAAATCATGCCGCCCTCGAATGTTCTATCCTGTCTTGGGTAGGCACTTGGCGGAACCGTCAAGTCACATGTTCCATCTGAAGAAGCTCACCCCCCAGTAGCTCAATCAGCCCCGAGAAAGAGAAATGGATGTGCTAGTTGGCGGAGAATATTTGCATTTAAGGTGTCTCTTTCTTCTTTCAGTTAGCACACCCCTGTTAAGCATCCAATATCCAATATTTCTTATTCATGCAACACACTAAGTCCCAAGCCTACCAAAAGCTAAACCCTTTGTTCCGGCGTTAGTGCGCCTAGATCTCCAAGCATTCCAAGAAGACTGATAGAACCAAATCGATTCATATACTCATCCGGATACAAAGTTCAAGTGTTTTCGGCGCCACCGTGGGGGAAGGCCGATTGAATTCCACACCACCAACTTTGACCGTTCTCCCATCAGGCCGAGGCATCAAGGTCGACTATCTATGAAAAGCGGCCTGTAGATTATATTGAATCAAGAACAATGCTCCCCTGAGTAGATATCCAGCTAGATCAATAGATTGTATTGTCTAAATATCTCGAACTGCTCGGCTAGGAGACTTTCATCACCTCTCTTATCAAGTGGAGGAGATGGTTTAGTACGTTAATTTTGTCAATGATCTAGGAATGCTCAAGCGATACTGGGCAGCTTCATTCAGCCAAACTCAAAGCCTCCAGTCATCATTAACCGTGACGGTCACTGGTCTATCAAATCTCCAGTCATAGCCAATCATATCGACAAATAGGCTACTTCTCACTCAATTTTTCTATTTCCCGTGCCAGGCCTTGAAATCCAGATACACGTGCCAACCAACTCGTAACGACTGCTTTGCCAAGCTCTCCAATTCCCGTGTCGAAATTTGCGATACCGATTGTTGCGTAGTATTGCGCACAACGCCTCGATAAGCATTGTAGCGATAGACAGACTTGTTTCAATCATTCCAAGCCTGCTCAGCTGCTTTCGCTCCGACAATTGGTGTTCCACTGCATTCACAGGATGCATCACATGTTTGATTGGTGGTACCCTCGGCATGCGAATGCATCAGCTGCGCAGAGTTGAGTTTGTGAGATCTGACACAATCCCTCGAGATCATACGTAGCTGACAAACCCCCATTCACGTGTTCTTCCAGCTATGTATGCAAAACGCCGATCCCTCGGCGTAGCTTCAGTCTAAAACACTTCTGGATGATAGCCGGCCGGGATATTCTCCCAACAACCGGGAAACGTAGCTGCGCGCCGTTTCAGGGAATGCGACCGCAATTTCTTACTTGTCTCAGCCCTTTGGGGCGGTGATTTGGGGTGAATTTACCGCGGCAAATCGGAGGCTGATTCTTTGGAGCTACCCTGCATCTGCATGCACACTTTTTGTCGCTGCGAGCATACACACACATATGCGGGTTCGTATTTCCGGATCAAGTCGAGTTTCCTCAATTGGAAGGACTCCAAAGGCAAATGCGCAAATGAATTTTGAGAGTGTAGCAAACTGTATGTATGTAAAAGAGCCAGTGTTGAGGCTTTGTTGGAGGAGCGCATGGGGTTTCTTTTGCATGCCATACGAAATTTACAAATTCTTATTCTGAGAGCTGTTGGCCACTCCTCTTGGGTTACTTCTACTGACCATTGGGTAGCCTCCGACTCTCGTCGCGTCCAATGAGACCTGCCTAACAAAGAAAATCAAAGATAATTCGCTCATCGTCATGCAACCAGCTATTCGTGCATCTACTGGCTTTGATCTGTTCGTCTCGCGCCTCTGTAATGCGACTTACCCTGCGGTCATCGCGGCGCATTGAATTGTATGCGCATATGTTCGTATAAGCAAAGAGAAGGCCTTTAATTTAAAATGGCAGCGGCCGCCAGAGCAAGCACACAAGTTCATTTATGCGGCCGACTCGAATAATTGTCGCAATGGACCTCAGAACAAGGCGAGGCAGTGTGCTGCTTATTGGCATCGTGAAGGCCGTTTGTTCCAATCGGGCTTTCTTCGGATTCCATTCTCAAATCACAGCAGAACGATCCGTCAGATCAGCCACAAGGGCGGGACTAACTCGCTTCCAGTCTGACCAAGAAAAAAAGTCACCTCCAATGACGGAATTTCGTGCAATGGATATCCAGCGCACTAAGAGGTCGCGTGTCCCAACCGGGATGCTGCGACTCTTCACAGACTACCACCTGTCTACTCACATATCATATTATCAGTGACGTGTTCCGGGACGGGGAGCTGACCACCCTACCCACTATTCGAGCTGTAGGGACCAACTTGCCGGCAAACGCCTGAGCCCCATCCCCGCCTATTTATACCGGCAGGGTCTCTAATCGTCGCTGAATTGTTGGATCATCCGTGCAGATCTGCTCTGCGCTTCCTCCCGATCAAGATGAATATGACATTGAGAGCATTTTTGGCCGCGGCGAGGGCGGCCTTGGCAGCTCCTCCAGCCGAGAGAACCCTCCCGCTCACCTTTGTGGTCGGCAATGAGTCGGCAGGTAAGTTTGCGATATGCGCCTCCGGTAGAAACCATCTGCCTAACATTTCGCCAGATCTGGATTCCCTCTGCTCCGCCGTCGTCTACGCCTACCTCCGCACAAATGGCAAGCAGCAGTCCCTCCACATCCCGCTCTCCAACCTCCCCCGCGCCGACCTGGCACTGCGAACCGAGATGACGGCCGTCCTCAAAGACGCGGACCTCACCCCCTCGGACCTCCTCACCCTCTCCGAGCTCCCCGACCTCAAGCCGGAGGACACCCGCTGGCTCCTCATCGACCACAACAGCCTGACGGGCCCGCTGCGCAAGTTCGAGTCGCAGGTCATCGGCTGCATCGACCACCACGTCGACGAGGGCACGATCCCCAGGGACAGGTCCCCCCGCATCATCGAGCCGTGCGGCAGCTGCATGAGCCTCGTCATCGAGGAGAGCAAGAAGCTCTGGGAGGCGGTCGCCGCCGGGTCCCACCACAGCGAGGTCGAGAAGCTGGCCAGACTGGCGCTGGCCCCCGTCCTCATCGACACCATCAACCTCACCGCCAAGGACAAGACGAAGCCCAAGGATCGCAGCGCGGCCGAGTTCTTGCAGGGGAAGATGAGGGATGAGAAATTCCACCCGGATGCCTACTACAAGGCCATCGAGGCGGTCAAGGAGGATATTTCTGAGCTCAGCTTCCGCGACATCTTCAGGAAGGATTACAAGGAGTGGACGGAGGGCGGGCTGAGGCTGGGCATCAGCTGCGCCGTGCAGAACTTCGACTATCTGCTCCACAAGACCAAGGGGTACACGGATGAGTTCTTCGACAAGCTGGGCGACTGGGCCAAGGAGAGGGAGCTCGACATCATCTCTGTGATGACGACGTCGCATCCGGGCGGGGAGTTCCAGCGTCATCTCCTTGTATGGGCTCGGGGAGACGAGGCGATTGCCGCGGTGCAGAAGTTTGTGAAGATATCGGGTGCTTTGGAGCTCCAGCCCTACGAGGATGGAAAGCACGACAAGGCCGGACAGAGGCTGGCTTGGAGGCAGAAGAACTTGGCTGCTAGCAGGAAGCAGGTTTCGCCGCTCTTGAGAGAGGCTATGAAGTGCAGGACGTAGGACCCTGAGGTCTCAACATTTGTATTGGTGGCTTGCCATGTCAAAAAGATATGAGCAAAAAGAGACAGGAAAGGGGAGCCGATAGACTCAATTATGAATGTAGCTATATTACATGCCCTCCTATGCTGATACGGTTATTGTACAAATGGTATTTGAGTCGTAATGGAGAATTAACAGCTACCGGTCCCGAGGCTGAAGCTGTGACCGGATATGTTCTACCTCTGCGAGAATACGAGCGAATTCGGGCACTTTCGACATTTCTTCGGTATGATTTTCTTCATCCATCATGTCTGACCTGCTGATCTCTTTAAGCTGGGTAAGCGCAAGAGGGTCAGCGACTAAAATGGCCATTTTCAGCCATCTGTAGAGCTCCCCAACGGGGCTAACGGCCGGTTTTTCGAGGAGCATTTCGGGATAAATCCATCGGAGAGCGTCTCTGCAAAGCCGAGGTTGAGATGTGGACGCGATGAGTCGATATGCAAGCTCATATAGCCGAGGAGGCCTCGCAAGGTTGAACCTGGGCGGAACGCGGAACGCGTCCCACACTCGATCCCAATCTTCGCGGAATGCGTATGCATTCATGAGTGCGAGAGTATGCTCTTCCGATGGGGGCTCATGGGATTCTCTAAGCAGGATCTC